TTATATATATATAAAGCATTTTTCTTAGCAGCCATTGCATATATAGTAGAACAAGCCTGTGAAGTCTATGCTGCAAAACTCAGGCCAAGCAGCTTTCATCCTCTTCTTAGAGGAACATTTGTACCGGAGCCAGTATTTCAGGATTGAGGAGTTCTGCTCCTCCAGCAGAGCCGTTGCTTTATCTTGTACCAGGTATTGCCCACACCACCTAAGTGCATAGTGTTTTTAGGGAGAAATGCCACTATGTGGAATCACCTCACAGTCTTTAAGCTTGTCTCCAACAGTTGAATCACGCCAACACCTTCTTCTAACAAAAAGGCAGAAACATAATGGAATGGCTTCAAGTGTGTTAACACGAAGTGGCAGTGACCTTACCAAGGGGGGTTCAGGGGCAAGTGAGGGGCAAGGAGGAGGCGTCGTGCAGCACAGGGTTTAGTAACTCATATTTAGTTTGTTTTTGTTGAGTTCCCTTTCCAGGTTTCCTATCAGAGTATCAATACTTTCCTGCAAGTCTTTGAGGTTTGCTCTGTGATCCACTGCGGAGTCTATCGCTTGCATTGTCAAATAGCTCTGAAACGTGTGCTCTCTGGGACAAGTGAGGGGCAAGGAGGAGGCGTCGTGCAGCACAGGGTTTAGTAACTCATATTTAGTTTGTTTTTGTTGAGTTCCCTTTCCAGGTTTCCTATCAGAGTATCAATACTTTCCTGCAAGTCTTTGAGGTTTGCTCTGTGATCCACTGCGGAGTCTATCGCTTGCATTGTCAAATAGCTCTGAAACGTGTGCTCTCTGGGAATGGACTGTGGGTGTCCTGCCAGGGCATCTGGCTCCTCAGTTTTGCTGCTGTCATCCCCGCTCTCCGTGTCTTCCGAAGGGACATCATCGTAGTCTGCTTCACTCAGGCAGTCTTTTGGGTTTAAGAAGTAGTTCTCTCCACAGCTACTCCAGTCTCCAGCGTAGCGGTTGCTCGATGGGCTGTTTAGACCTGCTGGCCTTGGTCTGAGTACCCCAGACATCTCGGTACCGCTCAGATTCAGCATCTGAGGCCTCTGCCTCTTGGGTCTCAGGTAATTCAGGGAGGATGGGTGCTCAGGAAATGCATTCAGATGTGCTGGCTCTTTGGCAGGTGAGTGGTGTACTAGAAGAGAGAAGTTACATCAGTCAGGAGTGAATCCATGCTGAAACAAGAGAAGTCCACAAGAGATGCCGACTGTCCTCCCTCGATGTCGCACACTAACAGCATGCATGAATACATGCAAGCTTACAGCCAACACATTCCACTATTATGTTTTCCACCACTGTTTGATACAAAATAATTAGAAAAACTACTGTAAAAGCTCAGTTTTGAAGATTCATGCCAGATTCAAATTGCAACAGAGAAGCCTATCTAAAAAGTAGAAACTCCCAGAGCACCAATTAAATTCACAGCGTGAGTTAATCACCATCCGGCTCCGGTCAAAGAAAAGCAAACAGCTCAGCTCACACGCTTGGCCAGGGCTACAGGAGTAATAGAAAGCAGGCACAGCAAAAGAGGTTAAAATGCAACAAAAACCCCACTGCTGAGAAACACCTAGAGAAGCTGAAAAGCTGAACTCTTGTGCTTCTGCCCTGATGTTCTGCGCTATTAAAGCAGCTCGTTTGCATTAATTTTTCTAAGCAGGCACAACCCCGTGTCAGATGTACACTCAAACAGGTTTGATAGCAGTGTTACCTGAGCTCACGATTCTACAGCATAAGTTACTAACAGTCTCCTCCACTGTTACCGGCTTCCTACGGTAAACAGCACAAATATTTTTACTGACCTATTAAGCCTATTAAGCACCTGAGCTGCAAAACTTCTGGTTTTATATAGACCACCTCTTGGAATTAAGCAGCAGAGACTTTCTATTCCCATTCACTGCTTAAAACATGGTGCACTCAAACCCTTGCAGTTCACAGGCTCACCTAATCCTCATTGGACTCCTTGCACACAAGCACAAAGGCTCATTCCTGAGATGTGCCCAGTGCTTCTCTTTCTAGGTCTGCATTCAGGTCTCTCCAGGGGATTTTAGTCTTACTTTGCATCCTGCACAGTAACATGCAATAACTATCACTGCTTCCCCCCCCACCCTCCCTTACTATAACAAAAGTCCTTCTGTTTAGACTATGCTCCATTAAGAGGAAGGGCCGTGGCTTAACAATAACTTGCCAGTATTATATGGTCTAACTGAACAAGGACTATTTGTTTTCGGTTGGAAAAACACGGAAATTGAAGTATTGCACAACATGTTGATTATCAAGCTGTCTCAATCTACAGAAGATTAAATGTAAGGGACCAGGCTGAGATCCTTCCGTCGGGTCCAACTGTTCTGTTTACACTGTACAGTGTACACCTGCTCATGTCTCTGCGTTCGTGTTTTACCTCCCTTTTAGCACAATGTTCAGTTCTTGCAATCCAAGGGATAACTTCCAGCTCTCCTCTTCAAGGTGAAGGAAAACTCCATTACTTACCCTACTCCTACCCCCTTTACAGCAACGCACACTCCTACGGGCAGAGCTGCATCTACCTGTTTCCCACAGCAGCCATGCCATAAGCTATCCACAGGGTTTCATGATTAGATCCTGCACAGCATCTGCTGTCCAAAGAGCTCTCGGTCTCCCCCTTCCTCCACCCATGTTTTCTCTCTCTCCTGCGTAGACTCACTGACCTGACTGATAACCTTTTCTCATTTTTGGTGGTCAGCAGCTTTAGGACTGCCCAGCTGCAGCTGACAATGGAGCACAAGTGTCCTCAACCACCTCAAGCCCATCATGAAGCTGCTGTCAAACTAACTCTCCTCTTGCTCTTCAGGCAGAGCCAACAGCCAGCAGCTTCCTAGCCACGCTGACCAAGAGTATGATCAGTGTGTACTTGTTACAGCCACAGGGTTGGCTGTCACACAACGTGACTCCAGGGCACAGGCACCACCAGGTCACTAGAGTATGGAAAAAACGTAAAGAGCATCATCCACAAGCAGCTCTTCCAGTGACATCCTTCCAGCACCTGCACTTGAGCTGCTGGAAAGCCACTCACCCGCTCAGCTGGAAAAGGGGGCAGAGTAGCTAGCAATGTCTAATGTGAGCAAACTGTTATCAATGAGGCTGTCAGGATGTTCTCAACTCTGCCTAATTACAAGGGGAGAAATAAAGCAGCCCTTTGGGTTATTTCAGAGACCAAACAACTAATGAATTCCATACGCAGGTAACCCTGAATGGGCAAAGCAAGAGAGCAGATGGGGGAAAACATGAAACTCCCAAACAAAAACAAACAAGAAGTTCCCCAAAACAACAAAAATGCCCAAAAACCCACCCACAAAAAAAACCCAGCAAACAAACTAACAAATAATTCAGATGTTGAAGCCTCACTGTCACCAGGTTTGTTTTTTCTAGAGTCTTTACTCACATAAATCACTCTCCACTATTTCTTATGTTATACTCAAACTCTGCCATCTGGCAAGAAAGCAATTAAAACAACAGATTTCCTATCAAACAAAGTGGCCAAATATAAAGAGTAGATTCTAAAACTGTCATGATTTCTTTAGATTACCAGGTGATAACACAGTATCTTGTGTTTTAGGAATTATGGTGCTGCTCAATCATCCTGTGGATTAATACACCGTCACAAAGCATAACCATACAGCAACAGTTTATGAAACAGTACCTGGCCACAGTTGGAGTAAATAGTGAAGAACTTCTATGTGCTTTTTGAAGTCCAAGGCACTAGCAAGCTCCTCAGAGTCTATGAAGACTCTGTTGTTATGGTTGGTGGTCTCCTGCCTCTGGCTCAATAACACAGGCCCAAAACATACAGCTAAATTCTGGCATGTCATCTTGTTTACTTCGTGGTAAGAAGCCACTAGTTTCAGGTGATCCAACAGCATCTTCAGGGTAGCCTAGAAGAACAAAATGCTGCTCAGGAAACAAAACACTAGACACTGGTGGTGCTGACATCCTAATGTTGCTGCTCCAGAGACTAAAAGCAAAGCTGACAGCTATGGTTTTTCTACCAACCCATCAATGGAATAGCTAAGTGCTGAATTAGAAAAGCCATACAGAACTATCGCAGAGCAGACTAGTTATCACAGACTTCACTGGTAAAATCCAGCTCATTTCTTCCCTGACCTCAGTTTTACACTGACAATTTTTCTCACAGAGGAAAGGGGACATGAGGGTGGGGAGAGAAGCTGCAGAAGCAGTACTGATGATCCAGGTACACTGAAAACAAAGAAATCCTCAGGATGACCTCAGTGTCAGAACAAGCTTCCAGGTAACTTTCAGATACCATGCAGGCCACTCACTTTCTATGTCCTTCCCTAGAATCAAGCTAACTGTGAGTTTCTACATTTGGGAAGTGTCAGCACACACCATTAACACTGCACAGTGTGGTAAACAAAGGCTTTATTGCACATACTTAGGAAAGAGGAATGCATTTGCCCTTGTGATTATGACATACAGATCAGAGAGCTCCACAGAAATGGAGAAGGACACCACAGGGGAATAATCTTTGACCTAACAGTGTAAAAGCAGTGGTCACAGCTTTTCATTCAGTTTTACAGAGGCAATGTAAAATGCAACCCAGAATAAACTCAGTAATGCAGAGCCTCCAATTAATCACAGCATGGAAGTATTTTCAAAGATGTAGAGCATCAAAAATTCAAGTGGACCATTAAGTCCAGAAACACGTGTATACATTTTGACATGTTTTATTCCCAGTGTGAAAATGTTCCTCGTTTTCTGAAGCACGCAATTTACTTGCCCCTGCTAACACCGCTCACCTTCTCAACATCTGGCAGGCAATCTAGAAGGGCTGCTGTGTGCTCAGAGTCACTTGGGTCGTTCTCGCAGCCACCTGCTGTCATTCTCAAGGGATTTTTCATCATGGCATCCAACACTGCTTCATAGAGCTGCTTGGTTATCAGGGGAGAGGGTAGCTCTCGCAGGTAATCCTTTAGGACGCCTTCACAAGAGACATAAGAACAGATGCCTTTAACAAGGTGCAGATTCACCTTCCAGTGCTTTTTGGGAGCACTAAGGGACATGAGCTTCACCTGAACCATAAGAAAATCCTCTGTGCCAGTGATGATCCTCACACTTGTGAGCAAGAATTGGGAGGATGACAGCAACATGGCACAGTGAACCATGGATTCAGCTAAGAGGCAGGAGGTACCTCTGCGATGTCCCCACGAGGATGGGGCGACCAGCACCCCATCCCTGCAATCCCAGCAGCTTCTCCAACTCACGCAAAGCAGCCCATCACAAAGAAACGAGTGAAGCCAGGACAGGAAGGTGCACTGCCTCCAGAGGAGCGCGCAGCAGCGGGTACACCAGGCACAGGGTGGGCACCTCTTCTCATCAGGGTGAGGGAGAGGCAAGGAAAGGACTCTTAGCAGTCCCCCTCCTGTCCAAGGAAAGGAGCTCTTACAAACACCAAAGTCTTCAGCTCCATGACACCTCCTCCTTTATATACAACGTCAGTTAATTTGTCTGTTCAGTTTATTTTCAGCTGAAAAATGGTGAGCAAACATTCCAGTGCCAGTACTGCAATTATGAAAGCTGCCTGTTCCCGGAAAGGCAAAGCGGGAAAGCTAGGTTTTCCTACTTAAGCAGTTCTCATAACTTTCTAAAATCGCAAGTGGCAGCAAATACCACCACTATATAGCTATATAACACTATATATCACTATATGAGCTATATAGTGATATATAACACTATATATCACTATATGTGCTATATAACAAAGCAACAGGTTTTAAACACTCAATCTTTATAACCTAGCTCTAAACTGAACTGTATAGCAGCAGGCTTCAGGTTTGTTAAGAGGTTGTTTCTAAAAAAATACAGGGAACAGAAGTTAACATTTTCCCTTCAGAATCACAGCCATGTCCACATGCAGAATGCAAGTAAAAGGTGGCTTCTCCCCATATGAATATTTTTGTTTTAAACAGAATACTGCCACTGAAGCCATGTTGCATGAGCAGCACCAACTGAACCCCAGAGCTGCAGGACCATCTCTTTCGCCAGCGTAAGGCACTGGGCAGCCAGGCAAATCTTCAGTCTCTATAGGCCGCCACATAGCTTGCTCTGTGCTTCAAGCGGGAACATATCATCAGGAATATAAAACATGCAAACACCCACCCACCCACATATTGTACTGAAAACATACTCCCTCTGGAACGTGTTCAGGTGGGTTTTGTTTGTTTTATAAAGAATATGCCACTTCTGCTACAGCTCCACTTAAGGGGCTAGTTTTTGTTTAACAACCATATTCCTCCGTGCCCACCAAATTTTCTATCTTCCCTGGATTTGAGAGGCCCATGTTCCATGCATGAATTAGCAGTTTAAAATATGAGACAAATGTGGCAGAGGCTGGTGCTGTGCAGCACGGTTTGGGATGTTTTCCTTTTTTCATAAGCAAACACTAACAAGAGATGATGACTTTTATCAGGATCTTAGCTTCAGATGTGGTTTTTTTGGAGGGGGATGCTGACATCAGAATCAGCTTACAGTAGGCAATGGTCTGTCGTAACCAAATTCCTTTATACCACTGAAACACTCACAACTGTCCATTAATAATCATTTAGTAGGAAATCCTGTAATAGTATCCACAGTCACAGGACTACCACCTGCCAAAGGACTTTCTCCTGTTCAGCCCTGAATAACAAGATAGTTTGGGAGACATGAATGCCCCCTGACCTTTCTAAATCCTTTTGCTACTCACTCAGCTAAATTAGCCCTGTAAGAGGCTGTTGCTATTTTTTGCCACGAATCTACGCTTCCCACTGTTGCCAGCTCACTAGCACATTTCCCTTGACACAACCACACACAACAAATTTAGACAGCAAGCACAAATTGCCATCCACTTCATTAATTCCTCATTTTTCTGGCCCACTGAGCTGTTAACAGTATTGCATGCTTTATGGAGAGATATGAATTCACGTGGATGTGAACAGACGCGGTGCAACAACAAGACTCTTGGTCAGTTCTAAAAATGGGCTGCACGCTCCAGTTTGAGCAACAAGCAGACTTAATTTGTGTGTAAGCCTCTGCCAACCCTAAGAGCATTTCTCAGTCAAGCTTTAATCATTAAATGTTCATTCTTCAGTCTTTGGAGACCTGTCAAAACCAAAAAATCCTTTTAATCTCTTCACAAAGGAGTGCTACTCACATTTCAGAGGGGCACGAGGCAGCGCTTCTCTCCAAATCAGCCAAGATTTGTGCTGAGGATTCATATTTTATGAAACATATGTTTTGGCTGATAAAAATATGAATCATGTGCGTCAGCCTCAGCATTGCAAATATAGCAGTAAAACACCAGGGAAAACATTCCCCCTCAACCCAACTCCCTAAAGGTCTGCAAGAGAGGTTTTGTGGGCTCTTTTATTGCTAGCACTAAGCATAGTGGGTACCTACGTCTGTCAGCAGAAATTGCAGGTTCCCCTTTCAACCCAGACCATTTGTCTGCTTAAAAGTTAATATCAGGCAGTTTCTGCTGTTTGGCAGAAAGCACCAGTGGGTTTTTATTCCCCACCATTCTGAATTGATTTACAAAAATCAGCGAGAAAACAGGACTTTAATAATTTGATGGAACAATCTGATCTTAGAAGTTATCACCATTTTTTCTCATTAATTTATTTGTAAAGAGAAGAAATTTATCCAGTTTAAAAGATCCTTTATGCTATCTACTTTTACTGTACACCTCCTCTTTATAAGGGGTGTATACCATCTGTGTATACCAACAGAAACACAAGTTTCTGCTGCGAGAATGCTGGTACTTGCAAGCAACATTGAACCCAACAGAAAAACCTGCCAAGGCAAGTAAGGCGAACAGACCAGCTGTACATTCTGAACCAAAGGGTTTATTTAACCCAGTAAATATCATCAAGTAGTAGTATAATTATATAAAGTAGCGTCAGAAGACTAAAGTGTAATGAACAAATTTCATTACCAGTGTACTGAAATGAAATAAACCACTAAACAGGGTAGAACTGTCCCATATAGCTGGATGCTGGATGCTACAGAAAAGGCTTTGGCACAGGAAATTTATACCCTGGCTACTGTTGCTACATTTTCCATCCCTGGATAGGTAGGAAATTAATGCTTCTGACTAATTTCCCAGAGCAATTGGTTTACTCAGCGGTGCCTGAAATTCAAGTAACTTTGGCTCACATAACAAGTATCAATAGTTATAAAACTGTTCCGCTTTTAAGCAAACAAAAACAACCTCAAGCTTACTTCAGTTATGCCACTCCTGTGAAGGCACCCATGTAGAGAGCTGATGCAGATGCAGACCTTCTGTTCCTGTACTCCAAATCCTTCCCACCTTTGCCAGGAGCTTGCTGCATGACAGCAAGCCAAGGGCCGCTCCAGTGAGCAGAAGAAAGTTGCTATTTAATTATGCTTTAAAAGAAGCAACGATCAAATGAAGGCGCTTTCCAGCAGCTCTAACCAGCTTAAGCAAGATGATGGGAAATCTGTTTCCAAAAGTCCTGCAATCTACAACATAAAGGGAGGCCAAGGGGTTTATCTGAGAAGGCCCTTGGATCACATTGTGGAGTTGCCAGCACAGCTGACATGCCTGATCACAGCCAAGTGTTTCAATATCTGCTCCAATACAAACCAACGGCAAAGCTTAAACTGGCTCAGGGAACCTCAGCTCCTTTCTGACTTCCACTCCCCTCTGTAACTGGTAAAACAATTACTGAAAGCAGCTCCTTCCATACCCTCCCTCCAAATCACTGCTGCTTCATACTTACATATCCCCACGGTTACTGCAGTCATCCTCACCTAACTTTTATCAATACAAAGCATCAGTTAACAGCTTTTTAAATGACAACAGAAAACTAGATCAGAGCACAATTTCACCTTCTAAAGGTACTTTAGGAACATGGCACAAGCCCATACTAAAAAAAAAAAAAAGGCAAGTAAATGTATTACCTGTTATGACATTAATATCTGGGTACTGGCTTTCACAGAGGGTAACCGCCTTGCTGTCCTTCTCAAATGCCTCTCGAAGTTCTTTCTTAACTGCTGCTGAGCCACATAACCGATACAGGCCTACCACCTAGAAGCAAAAACAACAGCCTACATCAGTCATTTCCCTGCAGAGGGGACTAATAACTGGCATCATGTGTTGTGTCATCCAGGAAATGCAACAAAATCAACTGTTTGGAAATGTATGTTATGGAGAATTTCCATATCAGTGCAAATCAAATGGTCATGTATGGAATCAAACATTTCACAAGACACATTGATAGGTCTGTGAAGTGCTGAATAACCCTAATGTTTCCCAGAACGGTGAACATCCTGAGCAGTATTTTGTTGACAGGAGTTTTAAATGGGAATAATTTAGTGCTTTGCTCCTACGCAAGCTCAGGAATCAAAGAAACACTGATGAAGCATCTATTCTACTCATCCTACTCATTTAGATCACCATTATTTTTCCTAGTTTACTTATACACAGCAGAACTGGAACTTCAGCAGAAAGAAATGAGAAGTGGTTTGAACTTTATGTATTCAAAATTACATAAAGTTTATATATATACCAAAATCAGGTTATTAATCATTAAGCAGAAAAAAGCAGTCATACAACTGACTACCTAGTAAAATAAGAAATGTCACAAACCAATTAAAAAAAACAAAACAAGCAACAAAATAAACCATACTCCATTATTACACCTACAATATGCTGTTTTAAAGATGACAAGATGCTGACCTACATGTATTCCAAATCATATCAAAAGTTTTATGCAAAACAGGGGTTATTTAACATGCTCGAACTGATAGGAATGAAACCACAAGAGTCTTGGACTGAATTACTGGTTAAATCATGTACTTTCATGCACTCAGATCTTGTATTTTATCATTATTTACTTTTCATTTTCATCAACACCATTTACACAAAGCACTCCTATGATCTTAAGGAACTAAATCTTAAACGTACTCATTTTATTTTAATGAACTTTATAGGCAGCTGTACTGAGCAGTAATTGGTTAGTCCAAAACTCTCACGGACTTGAAAGACAAAAAAATACTCCAAGACAAAAAAAACAAACACCAACAAAATCCCCAACAAAACACACACTCGAAAAATCCCAAGCAAAAAACAAATCCTGACTTAGACCATACAAATCCCGGTTTGCAAGCAAGTGTATTTGTCTGGCCATATATTAATTCCTGTTTAAATAAATGGAAAGTTACCCAGTTGAACTTGTGCTGCCTCTTCCCAAGACTGATCAGGACCTAGTATTTGCCTAAGACAATTTCTTCTAAACTTTTCTAATGCCACATCTGAATTCAGGTGGAGGTAACACACCATGACAGAAGTCTGCAGTATATAGTATATATAAATGTCAGACAAGCACGTGGTTAAAAGAAGTTAACAGTATATTTTCCATTTTTGGTTCTCCTTGTACAAACACACAAAACAGATTTCATGCTCAAAAGCACCAGGTAAATTCAGACAATTCAGATCCTAATCGCTTCATTACCAGTGTTGCCTTGATTACCCAATGTCATTTGCATGACTTGGTGCTAATAAGCCCAAAATAAAATGCTGAAACCATGGGACACATACATTGGTAAGAATCAAACTTCTCTTTTCCACTGCTTTGCATAATGATGGAAGCATTCACAGTAAGAATCATACAGCTGTTATCAGCAGTGACTTTCATCAAAGTAATTACATAGAAGTAAGATTTCTCTATATTTTATGACGTAGGTTATAAATAGCAGAGTTAATCTCTTAACACCTGGAACTATATCCAACCTGTCAGCAATTTAAAATAGAAACAGTGGTAGGTGTGATTACTTCTCAATTAAACCTGAGCAATAACAGGTGTACAAGAAACCAAGGGCTCTCACATGCTGTGGAACAGCATGCTAGAGTCCTCCTACCATCTGACCTTAGGACTGTGAATAGTCCTTCCTATTCCTTATTGTCTAACATCCATAACTGGCTATTTGTTTCCATACCTCATTCCTCATACATATTTTTGTCAATTACTTTACATCAACCAAAAAATTGCATTAGGATGAAGAGAAGACACTGGGCACTGCTGCTTTACAGCATTCATCTCCTGTCCTGATTTTGAGAACAATCTGAAGAAAGGCCGGGGGCAGTGGCATGGGGAAACAACTAATTCAGCCCCTCCCCAGGGTCTCCTCTTCATCAATGTGCCAGAGACAAGTCTTTGGCACATTGGCTTGAGACTGCACTCATGTAAGTCAAGTCTTGCCAAAAGACCTGTTCTCATCACTTTGTGTCACTGCACAAGATGCCTCAGTTTTGGGAAGAAGCAAAGAAGGGAACTCACTTTTGCATTTAGATACATGTCCTTACGGAGTGGATCCATGTCTCAGGACTTTCAAGTTCCCAGCTCTGCTTTTTGAGGGCGACTCTACATGCTGGGGGCTCCAGGTTCATTTCACTATCCCAGTCCTAAAGCACAATTGTGAGCTCTCCTGTGACCAAGCGTTTGTCTCCTCTACAAAGGCCAAGTTAGAAGCACTGATTTCACACAATCCTGTTATTCTTCCCACATTACAGTGACCAGTGCTTACCAAACAGGAGCAGCAAAGCAAAAGAAAACAAAAACTGACATGTAAAGGTGTTTTTCATTTCCCCTTTCCCACTCACTGCACACACTCTGTGACAACAGCTTCCCCGACACAGAAATACTAACAAAACAGATTAAAGTATGCACAGTACCTGACAGCCTCTCTTTTCAATCTCCAGGATGCATTTCTGCATCAAAAGTGGCACCATCAAGCCTGCGTTTTCCTTCTCTACAACTTTCCGAGCATCTACCCCAAACATCACCGGCTCCCGATCTGCATCGAGGCCATCAAGAGAGTTCTCCCACTGCTCCATGAGCGTCAGCTTGACATAAATAAGCCCCCTCGGTTCCAGTTTGACAGCCAGCTGATGAGTCTTTGCCACTCGGAAGAGAGTGGGAAGAGCCACGGTTCCATGGCAGCACACCCTGTTCTTCCTTGGGGTGGGCTCCCAGCTGAACACCACCAGCTTCAAGTGCTGTGCGTTTTCGATTTCTATGTTGAACGTGTGGTCCATATCTAGGAACGTTGTCCTACACGTAAGCAAGGCTGTTCTTGCTTTGTTTACTGAGTCAACCTGTATTGCACAAAAGACATCTTTTGAGTCTATTCTTGGTGGTTTCAAGTCTTCAGCACCATAAAAGTGAATGCTCATGAGTCCAGAGAGGTACTGAGAGCACTTGGGTTGATCAGAAAAGTTGTAGTGTTTGAAGGCATCGATATCTATTTCGGTTTTACCACTGCTGCTCGGAAGGCTCTCCTTTCCTTTTCCACACTTGGTTTCATGCCCGTGTTTACCTGATTTTGTTATAAGTTCGGGAGAGTCACCATCACTGAGGTAACCACCTTTGCTGAAGGATTTGGAGCTCCTCGACCTTTTCTTTTTGGGGGTGTGTTGCGACAACACACTGCTGTCGAGGTGGTAACGACTAAACTGTAGTTGAGTTTCCAGAAGATGGCAAAGACACTGTATGGCTTGTATCCCTGGCTTTCAGCAGGGAAGGAGGATTATCTGAACTAGTATGGCTTGAAGTTCCCTTGACACTCAGCTTTCTGCTCAGCTCTGGCAGCTTTTTCATTTTCATGGAAAGCTTCCTCACAGTTCTGGGAGATTTAATTCTATCAGGGAAAGGCCAGTTGATTGATCCACTTTTTTTCAGAGGACTGGGACTTGGAGGAGAAACCTCTGTTGAGGGAATATCAGCCTTGTGTGCAAGTACACCTCCAGCCCCTTTAGAAGAAAAGAGAAGGAATAATCATTTTCAAACCACTCAGTAACTGCTGTTCACAGCAATGAAAAAACAAATATTGAGCTAGAGGAAAACATGTTGATTTGTAATAACTTGATAAAGGCAATTCATTCAGACAACCATCATTCATTCATCAGTCAGATGCTTATGAGCATTTGGAAAGCTGTACTCTGCTGTTCAGCCAAGTTTGGCAGTTCATAGTCAAAAGCCAGATTTGTTCTGCTTTATGGAGATGAAAGGGCCAGAAACTACATAAAAACAAACGAGCTATCTCACCCGCTGCATTCAGCTCAATCCATTTGTGCTGTATCCCCTGTACAAGCAGACGTGGCTGAATTCCTGGGGCACAGGTGCAATGAAACCAGTCTTAAATGGGAAAACACTGGAATATGGCAAAGGCACCCTTGTCTACAAGGCAGCTAGCTACACAGCCAACACATCAGCATTGCCCATTCCTCTTAGGTCTAGAGGAAAGACACTTGTCTCTAGAAAAGATTACGACTATACTACTCTTCTGCATGTCCTTCTATTACCCCAAAGAGCCCTAAATCCCCCCTGTGTAGACACAGACAGTGAACATCTCACACCTTTTCTTCCATCATTTCTCTCAGCTCCTCCTTTCTGCTGCAGGAGAAAGGAGAAGGAACACAAGGATTTATTCCTTCCTGTACTGCCCCATTCCTGCAGTGTTGTTTTCATGAGATACTCAGCAAATCATACTTTACAGAGGTTTCTCTTACAGATTTCTTAAACGCTTACCACTTTCAATTCTAAGCTAGTCACCTCAAATCCAAATCACCATACAGCTAGTGACTTTTACAAGTCCCTTGTTCATCAAAATTAATTTTCACCATTTAATTATAAATTCTTATACTTCACTTTGCTTAAACAGTTAATCGGGTGATCTAGTCTTTGGTCAAAATGATTTGTTGTAGTTTTAGTCTCCTCCCACAAAAAACCCTACAAAGACCAGTTCTAGTTCCAACAGAAATTTGGCTTTAATAACTTTTGCAGATAGTTGCTTGAAAGAGTATCTGTATAAGAGTCGCAGTTACGAAAAATAACGCCTAGAATATGTTTTCCAGAGCAACAGAGGAAAATTCATTTGGCCCTGCATCTCATGGAAGTAGTCTCCTCACAGGGAAAGGGCTATTTCTAGCACGCCTGCTGTGCTTTTCTGGCAAGCGGCTAGTTAGAAATGTGGTGTTTGATAAAAGTGGACAAAGCCTTCCCTTGTACTGCAAATCACAGCACAGTCCCACTGGTGGGCTGGCTTGGAGCGCTCCATAGCAATCAGTGCCATACTGCAGCCCACTAACATTAATCTTCCCTTTCTGTCGAAAGTCTCTGGCACAGGCTTGGAAAAGCAGGCCAGCAAATTAAACTTCCCCCCCTTCCCAGCTCGTTAAAATTGAAGAGTCAATCTAACACTCTGACTTTTATGTGTCCAACTTCTGCTGCGTTCAGCAGCAAACAGTTAAAATGAAATATGTGGCTGGAAGAAACTTAACAGTCGAGTATTATGCAGGATGGTATTCCCATCAGCATTGAGCCACATGTTGTTCCACTAAAGCCAGCAATGTGCTGAAGTATGCACGCCATTTTAAAGAGTGTACATGACACAGCTCTGAACAAGCTGCAAAAGGAGCTGTAGCACAGCCTGGTACTTCACTTCCCAGCCTACCCATCTGATACAGCTTTCCCACAAGCATGGCAGAGCAACTGAGCTGCTCCTCGTTCCTTTACCAAGTCACAAGGCTTGCTGCAAACAGGCTCCTCACTGTTCCTGCCCCTACTCACTCAGCCACTGCACATCCCATCTCAGCAGCTAAGCTTTAAAAATACCCTTACAGAAGGATGGTGGAAGAAGGAAGGAGACGAAAAATAAGATGCACCTGTTGAGTAAATGACTACCAGGACAGCAAGGGGACGGTCAGTTTTATGTATGCAGCTGACTATATATTTATGTGATTATATATAAATTGATTTCTTTCTTACAGTGAGAACACTCAATCACTGGAACAAGCTCCCCTAGGACACAGTAGAGCCCCCATAACTGCAGGTTTTCAAGACACAACTGGACAGGGTGCTAGGTAATCTCATTGAGGCTCTTTCCCACCAAAGAGTGGACCAGATGATCGGAGGTCCTTTCCAACCTGGGCTGTTCTACGATACACTGTCTTTCCTACATATACCTTATGCTTTTCTGAAGGTTTAGCATTATAAGCAACACAAGAAATAAAAACCCAGCTTCTGAAGGCCAACACAAGCCAAGTCGAACTGACTTGACATCACAAGTGACTGCTTCCATCAGCTGTTTGTTCAGCTTGACCAGTAAAAGCCACCTTTTACTTTACTCAGTGATATGACTGTGTGAAAGAATAAAACCTTTTTGTGACCAAAGGGACACAACTGGAGAGACACGACCAGCCCACAGTGCCTTATGAACCTTGATCCCCGCCATCTCAATCCCCATCTGGCCAGGTGTCCACAAGGCAATCACCACTGTTCCTTTAGTCAAGCAGGCTGGCACAGATGGACCATACCCCTACACAACATTGCCTCAAGGGAAGAGAGGACTCAAACCATCTTAAGCACTTGCAACACAGCCCCTGACAGACATATGCAGTGATTTAGCAGAGTAAAGGTGCTTGTCTGACCCTGTTTAACACTGTTTACATGTGCTTGGGTGCATATATCACTGCCATACCCACTGCCAGCAAGGCATGTTATTTTACAGGCACATTTGATTATCCTATTATACATGTCACATTCCTCATCGCTTAAGGTGGGGTTTCTGAGTTACTTTAAAGTTCCTTGGAAAACCTGTAATTTAATTTTGGAGCAACAAGCTGAGATGAATGAGTAAGTCAGAAAACTATTAGTTCCTTATTACAGCAAACTATTGAAGTATCAAATGGCCACTCTCCCAGTTAATGGAAACGCTGAGTTCCCACCAAACTAAACCTGAAAGTTAATTTAATTTTTCCTACCATTCTCCAGACATACTTAATAAGTAACACTACAATCTAACACCGAAAGCATCTCTCTAGAATAACGGCATCAGTGTTGAAGATCTAAGCCATTAATTTTCAAAAGAGGAAAAAACCCCCACAACACGGCTTACACTGAGTGGTTGTAACTTTCAAAACCAAAGCCTCCATTCTACCTACTTTTTTTATGCTTTTTTACTATTATTATTTATAAAAACAACCCAAGGACTTTTTAGGAAGATGTGTTAAAAATGAAAAAGCAGCAAATCAAAACAGAAAAGCACAAATATCTCAAATTGTTCTTGTAGCAAACAATGGGTGAGTGAAAATGGGCTACTGTTTTTCTGTACCAGATACCACAAGAAATACTGAACTAGATGCTCAACTGACACAAATGGCACAGCTCTGTTGATGTCAAGGGTTGTTAACTTACTCAGCTGCAGGCAGCTTATGTTTGTTCATCCTCAGAGTTCCAGACCTGCTCTGGTATGAAACTTCAGAACAGAACTGTAAATAGCATTGAGAGAAAAATTCATGCTATATCAGCATCAAGCAACTTCAATTAAGACATAAGGATATCGCCACTTTTATTCACATCAGCAACTCGGGGGGGGGCGGGGGGGGAACACATACACTAAAAAAAAAAAAAAAAAAAAAAAAACCTTTCAAAAAATGAAATTGAATGGAATTATTTCTATGTAACATCTTAATTATCTAAACAAATGGAAGAGTCTCCTCTTTTAACCTGTAAAATAATAGTCTTTCTTACCGCTATAAAAACTACTACTTTGACCAATGAAGCCCGAGTTCTATCCCACATAATGTTTCAGTGTCAAGGAATGGAAAAATTCTTAAAAAGGTAAAAAAACCACAACAAACAAACAAACCACAAACCAAAAAGCAACCCAACCAAAAAACAGATAAACAAAAAACCCTCTAAGAATCCTGTAAAGATAGTCTGGTTTATTAAGATACTATGCACACTGACATTAATTAAGCCGTGATAAACCCATCAACTCAGGGATAACTTGATCCCTGGAGCAAAAGATAAAAATTAAATTGCTTTCAATAGCCCATTAATTAAAACAGGAAGTGATTCCAGCAGAACCCTCCAAGGCTCATGCACACTAAGAGGCGAAGGGGCTGGCCACTCACTGCCTGTGCTTCATGACGCTGGCGACCCTCAGAGCATCCTTGACAGTCATATCTCAGAGAGAGAGGATCAAGCACATGTAACAGCACTTTCGGTCTCCGACCACACCTAAAGAGTTCAGTATCGACAAACAAGCATGAGTTAGTTGCAGATATTTTAAGCATCAATGATTCTGTGATGCACATAAACTGCAGTTGGCTCTGTTCAGATGCTGGCATCACACCAAGACACAAGCAGCAGCACCCTGCCTGATGCCAAGCACTGTGCTTGGGCTGCTCTCACAAAGATTTCCTCTCTTCACTGTGTCTTCCATGGCATGAAAAGCAGCTTTGCCTCTATTTCCCCAGTCAAAGCATATGAACAGCTACTCAGTACAAATCAAACTGGAAAAAGTAATAGCTATTTTAAATTAACTGCTACCACTCCACAGCTGCTACATCCTATTGCCTCTTCCACCAGCAGGTCTTTATGGCATTGTTACCCTGCAGATCAAAGACACATGCATGAACAAGCCTTCAACCTTCAAAAGCATCGGCACAAACTCCTCAAAAGCCCATCAAGAAACTGCCCTCAGCTCTGCAGGAAAAAGAGGGAGCAGAGAAACCTTTCTGCCACACGCCAAATCATTCTGGTATCAAACATCATGCAAATATTTCACATGAATGCTTTTCTGCCTCATGAAACCAAAGCTCCTTGCACTTGGAGAACAGCTAAATCACAAGGTATCTTCCATCTGGAAAAATAGAAATTAAGCAATAGTGTTTGCAACATGTGGAAGGGAACTGGTAGATAGACTTTGCTGCCCAGCATACTCTGTATATTGCTGGAAGCTTATCTGCAAGATCTAAGTATGCAAAGTATTTGTTTGCATTGGCCCCAAAAGATGTATTTAGAAACCAGGATAGTGGTCACAGTCTAACTGGTGAAAGAACACTGTAGTCTGAATGTGACTTAAGACATTATCTATTTGGCATGTACTGGGGTTAAGTGTGAACGTGCTACCGCAGGATACCAGGTTGGAAGGGACCTCAACCTTCACTTCCTGCAACGTTGAAATAAAATCTGTTTTATGGTGATTCCGACCAGGATTTTCCACCCAGACAGCTAACACATGTACATTTTCCATAGCAAAAGCACCGTCCAGATCCTGGCAATCTACAGTGCACCAAGTCCTACCAGGATGTCTCTGAGATACAGACACACAGGAGATGATTCTACTGATTAGGTAGACACTAATCCCAACAACTAATCCCTACCCAAAAGCAAAAATATTACAGATTCTTCAGAAGGCTCCACAGTGTAAATCTATTGCAGGAGGTAGTATTATTAAGGGGTGTGTTTCTTCAACATTTTGCAGGGGATACACACATCTATAAAAACATACAGTTAGAATTCAATCCTAAATAGCTGTAAACAAAATTTATTTTAACATTTTATATAGACAAAAAAAAAGCAAAACAAAACACTAGAATTATTCATATTGCATTTATAACAAAACAACAAAAAGAATCAATATTTTCCAATCATTTTATCTGCGCAAGAAGACATCAAATTACAAACAGCCTCCACGGTCCTTTCCTCTTAAAACTATTTTCCCACAGATCTAAGAGCACAAGCAGATGCTGTTTCTACATTACGAATGTGGAACCAAGTTATCTTCTTACTCCCACCTCTTGTGTACTTGTTACAAACAAAATACGTTATTTTCCCAATCTCTGCCATAGAATCATACAATGAATTGGGTTGCAAAGAACCTTAAGATCATCTAGTCCCACCCCCCTGCCATAGGCAGGGCCACCTCACACTAGACTATGTCACCCAAGGCTCCATCCAGCTTGACCTTGAACACTGCCAGGGATGGAGCATTTACCACTTCTTTGGGCAGCCTGTTCAGCCTCACCACCCTCACAGGAAAGAACGTCTTCCTTATATCTAACCTGAACTTCCCCTGTTTAAGTTTGAACCCCTTGTCCTATCACTACAGTCCCTAATGAAGAGTCCCTCTCTGGCATCCCTGTAGGCCCCCTTCAGATACTGGAAGATGCTCTCAGGTCTCCACGCACCTTCTCTTCTCCAGTCTGAACAGCCCCAACTATCTTAGCCTGTCTTAGTACGGGAGGTGCTTCAGCCCCCTTATTATCCTTATGGCCCTCCTCTAGACTTGCTCAAACAGCTCCATGTCCTCCTTACGGCAAGGACACCAGATCTGCACAAAGTACTGCAAGTGGGGTTTCACGACAGCAGAGTAGAGGGGCAGGATCACCTCCTTCGACCTGCTGGTCGTGCTTCTTTTGATGCAGCCCAGGATATGGTTGGTTTGTGGGCTGTGAGCACACCATGACTCTCGTTTATTTCTGGGCTGTGAGCACACACTGAAGCTGGCTCACGTTCTGTTTCTCATCAACCAACACCCCCAAGTCCCTCTCCTCTGGCTGCTCTGAATCTCTTCTCCGCCCAGCCTGTAGTTGTGCCTGGGATTGTCCTGACCCAGGTGTAGGACCTTGCACTTGGCTTGCCCGAACTTAATGAGGTTTGCATTGGCCCACCTCTCAATCATGTCCAGGTCCCTCTGGAAGGCATCCCTTCCCTCCAGCGTATCAACCAAACCACACAGCTTGGTGTCATCCGCAAATTTACTGAGGGTGCACTCAATCCCACTGTCCATGTCATCGACAAAGATGTTGAACAGAAATCAGTCCCAACACTAACCCCTGAGGGACACCACTTGTAACTGGAAACACCAAGGGGCACCTTATGTCTAATCAGTTTCTTTTTAAAAGCCAGCGTGGCTAGAATTACTCACCAAGGAATTACCTGACAAATCCTATTAACATAAACAGCATTTACTGCCGAAAGTAACCATATTAACACCAGGAAGGAACAGTGACTATGGGCAAATGAGCACCTCTATGACTACAATCCATTTTACTGATAACATTTACAGGAAATATCTATCTGCTGTTGTGCTTGGAAAGACTCCCAATAACTGAATTCTACGATTTATTTTTTCTTAAACTTATGTCTAATAAAATATCTTCTAAAACATAGGAAAAAGTAACAACTCCACAAGCATTTTCTCCCTACAAAGTTAGAAATCCACATAAGGCAACAATGTTTAAAGTTTTAAAGGTAAAATTGATTCCATTATCCACAGAAGAAAGCAGCAAATGACAAAATGAACTGCGTCTTTTGTTGGAGTTTATAGAGCCCCCTTTATTCTGTCCATGCTTCTCAAAATCTTATACTTCAGACTCTAACCAATATTGACATACATTAAATCATATCAGTAAGAAAAGTAAGCAGACTTTTCCCTAAAGCTAATTGCTTATTTGTCAGGAGTAACTGCTGAATGTACCCAGCTCCCTAAGTGTATAGGCATCTGTTTCATAGCAGTTATATAATTCAAATAAGGTCCTAACACAAATAAAGCTAAATTGGCCACATTGCCCTTCATGCAGTAATTTTGTATGGATGAGCTGTCATTTTAAATTTGACTGAAAATAACTGTAGATACCTTAACTGGATTAAAAAGATGACCTAAGTCACTTCTCCATAATCAAGCCAATTACTGAGCAGCAGGGATCCACTTCATCATCAATTAATCTATTCAATGTGATCACTGTTCAATACATGCAAAATGAGAGCTGCATTTAAAGTACCTCAATTAACTCAATGCATAACAAACCAACCAGGTGAAAACTTTTCTCCTGGTTTCATAAGACACATTTTTAAATGGGCAATTTTGCTTTTAGAAATGTTTCTTCAGTATGAGAACAATTTGGAATTTTTCCAAATAAAGGGATTTATTTTAAAATTAGTCACCTATATATTGAGAGATTAACCCCTTAAATGGGGGTCAAACAGTTTGCACAACACAATAACCATGCTTATTGACCTCTCCAAAACACCCAGAGCTCCAACGATGACAAAAATCTACTTAAGAAGATGGTACTTCATTTATCTTGCAAGCAAATATAACTGGTCCAAGTATTTAACGCACCTATAAAATGAGTTATTTCTAAATGAATGCCCAGTAACTTTGCCACTACAAAATATGCTTGTCTGCAGCATTTCCACAAAAAGAACAAAACGTGAGCTCCCAGAAGACCAAGTGTTTTTTCTTCTGCTGTTTATAGCAGTTGCTCTGGTGCCTTTGAAAACAAGCCCTCTTCCCAGAAGCGGTCTCCGCACTGGGAATCCAGGCATAGCAGCTGTGGGCACGTGGGGATTCGGGGCCAGAAGCCTGCCAGGATGGTGAGGCTGGAGCAGGGCAAGACAGATGGGGATACTCCTCTGGAGGATAACATGTATGTTCCAATGCTGGCGTTTCAGGACCTCTCTGCTAAGCCAGGCAGAAATACAAGCTCTTACATCAGTGCAAAGAAAGCATGAGCCTTCTCTAAAGAGGAGAACCTGGAATTCCCTGTCTCCTGAACTTTACGCTGTTTCTAACTCTCAACAGGATACTAGAGTTAAGCTCAAGATAATGTAAGACACATCAGTAATTAAATTAATACCTTTTGGAAAGACTTGAGGTTTTTTTCTGCTTACTTTTGTTTGCTGTGGTTTTATTTTTGTTTCGGGTTTTTTAATAGACTGGGAAAAAAATTTAATAAGATGCTAAATTCAAGTAGTAATGGAATTATGTAAATGAGACTATCAAACACTCAGCCAAAGATAACAAGGAACAAAGAGGTTCGGTTCTGGAAGTGAAAACCATTCCTCTCCAGTCTATTAGATTAGCCTGAGACAGTCAACAAGACAGCAATTATAGAAAGTGACGTGAAGAATAGCATTTGCATGGTCTTCCAAAAAGTCTTTATTAAAAAGACCCAGACAGCAAGTTAAAGAAAGTTCTGCAAACATTAAATAGCTTTGAGGCTGGAATCCAAGGCCAGGGTTAGACATTAGCTAACCAAGGAAACCCCACCACTGTATCCTCACGTTACCAGGATTTAGCAAGCTTGCTTTGTAAAACCTTTGTGTTCAGCAAAGCGAGGGCCCAAAAGCACAGAGGACAACCACACTTGGACATACCATGGACAAACTGACTGAGAAACGACTGTGCAGTTCTACACTTAGTAGACATCAGTCTCACAAATTGAGTCATATTTTATGAACTTGGCAAGCATTTCCACCAGAATTTTGCTTGATAAAGATAAAAGGAGGAGAAAGAGAAAAGACAGGCATCAGAAGAGTTTATTATTCCTCTAAAAGAAAACACAGGACATAAACACCTTTACATTCCTGAACCTTCTTACCTGTTGAAGGGCACTTAAAGGTAGGATTGTCCTCCGCTGCAGGCACACTGGGAGCCTTGCAGGCAAACCTCTGCCGGTGCTGCTGCATTTGCTCCCCAGGATATGCAGCGTCGGCCTGACTCACTTCGCTGGGCTGAACCATACGACTGTTCCCTGTGCTCTCCATGGAGCATGGAGGACCCTCATGGGGACCCGCAGACATCCCAGAGTCACCTCCAGGGAGCGGTTTGTACCGAATAGCCAGGGAGCCCACAGCAATAGGGCTATTCACAGCAGAAGGGCGCACCCTCGGCAAGTCAGGCTCATCATCTTCAGGGATCGGGTTGTACCATATTTCTCCTTCATCATCTGCATCATTATCCTCACCCAAGTCCAAAGCAGGGCTCCTCGGCACAGCAGGGCTTCCGGTGCCACTGACAGGAGTGCAGCTTCGTACAGGGTGCTCCCACCCCACCGGTGACACAGAAGGAGCCCGCGGCACTGTGGGTTCAGGCAGCGGGATGGGAGATTTGGGTACCGGGATAACAGCCCCGGGCGTTTCCTTACAGGCATTTTCTTCTTCCAGAGGAGGAGGAGGAGGTCGGTGGGTGCTCTGCTGCAGCCAGCTGCGTTTCTTAGAAACAGTGATGCTGTTCATCAGCAGCCTGTGCTCAGGGACCGCGCTGGCCTGGGGGGACTCGGGCTCCTTCCTGCTTCTCGAAGCTATGTAAACATTTTCTATTAGATCTGTTCCAAGAAAGAAAGGAGAAAAGAGAAAAAAAAAAAAAAAAAAAAAGAGGGAAAAACAAACGTTTAGAATATCATTCTGCTTTCAACAGATGAACACACAAGCTGTTGTACGACATTTGCATTAGACCTCATCTGAAAGGACAGAAGACAAGTTGATGTGATCATAAAATTGTATGTCAGCCTGTCAAAGCAGAATGTGCACATAATTAATAAAGAGTCAGACTTGTTTGGCTATGTTTTTAACACCATGTAATTTAGATAAATGGCAGTGAGAGAGCTCTGATGAAAGGTCACATATACTTACACAGAAATGGCTAGGGTTTTCCACGAAGTTCAGGTACAGTTGGTTTGAAAAGTTGCTGCATGGTATTTCTCCAGTTTTCTTAGCCAAGGAAGAAACAGACCTGACTTCTGGTATAACGTACTACTCAAATGGCTACAAGATACCCACATAGATTTGCTTCTGGATTTATATATAAATAAAGGTGATGATACCTCTTGCACAAAAACCTCCAGAAAGGACTGACTTTATCAGCTTTATCCTATAGTTAAGACAGAAGCAACCCCTGATTTACAGGGAATAAAACCATCATGAAAGGAAGGAAGGAGAAAGAAGAACTCACAGAATCACAGAATGATTTGGGTTGGACGGGACCTTACAGATCACCTGGTCCCAAACTCCCGCCATGGGGCAGGAACACCTTCCACTAGGGAAGGTTGCTCCAAGCCCCTGTGTCCAACCTGTCCTTAAACACTGCCAAGGATGGGGCAGCCACAGGTTCTCTGGGCACCCTGTGCCAGAGACTCAGCACCCTCACAGGGAAGAACTTCTGCTTAATATCTAATCTAAATGTAGAAGAGTTTTTAGATATCTAATGACACACCAAAAATTTAATGCAACACCTAATCAGATCCCACTGACTGCTCCCAAGACTCAACACTATTTCCTTAAAGCAATACCCAAACATTTAATTATGCATCCAGAAAGTCACCTCCACTCAAGCCCCTTGTCAGAGCACGTCCAAGCAGCCCACTCAGCAGCAGTGGCAGTCTGCAAGGCACCAAATGCAGCAGCACATCCCATCCAGGCAAGCACCAGTCCTGTCACTAGGACTAGAAGGAAAGCTGCAAATATATTCAAATTATAAACAGGGAACGGAGGCCAGACAACCCTCACACTCCTCTGTGGAGAACAACCCAGACAGGGTTTGCTCAGCCACTGAGACCGAATGGGGATAACTGAGTTGTCTTAAAAAAAAAAAAAAAAAAAAAGTTTTCATGTGAAGCTCTCTGCAGTTCGAAATTCCAGACGAGGGCAGTTATTTGATACTGCTTAAACATTATTCTCAGCAAAACATTATTTGAACACCAATCACAGATGTTAAAATAGAGACACCTCTCTGGAGGATTCAAGGAGCAGCTCTGCGAATTCAGCTAAGTTTGCTGCAGACAAGGAGACAGGCAAAAGACTGTCACTTGAACACCTTCCCTTCCACCCTCTTTTTAGGTTTGTACTTTAATGACAGAAGAGATCCTTGATAAGATCCGATACACCAGTTGATGAAAGATTCATCAGTTGGTGGTATTTTTAAAAGTGAGGTTTACTTGTTTAGCTAAACCACAATATGAACACTGTTTGTGATTTAAAGAATTAACTTGATTCAAAGTATCAACATGATTAACCATGCTCATTTTGAAGCCTGTGCACATCTTCACTGAAGTGCTTTGCTACAGTGGGGTCTAAATCAGTCCATTAACAAATTTGGGGAAAATGAGAAAGCAGGGCTGAGGAAGCAGATCTCTGGCAAAGTTTCAGTGATTTGGCAGCAACTGTATTCCTTCCCCCACCCACAGCCTCCAAATTTAAGTGTGCCATTGCAAGCATTCCCTTTTACACAAATTTCACTACTATTTCAAGTAAGAACTAACCAGAAGGACAGGGAACTAATCTGCAGGGGGCACAGGGCTATGCCTGCATTTCAAAGAAGTCAGGTTGGATCAGGCACTTCTCGGGCAGGCATCCTCCTACCTCAAAGGCCTCCACTTCTGCATGGGCAGCCCAAGGAGCAGTGTCTGCTCCAGTGACATAAATAGATGGAGCATCCGAGAGCTGTACTTCCATATAAAAAAAAAGGATCTGCTACTTCCTGCTTCACTGTAGCAACACAGGCTCATCTGCACTGGTTAAGGCAGCCCACAAGTCCCAAACCAGCAGGCTCCTACGAAGTACATTGCGCCTAAATATACACCCAGCAACACATCTGGCACCAGCCTCAGGTTGCCCTTTGGTCCCAGCAGCAGCAAGCGCACAGAGCAAACTCAGCTTTGTTTCCAACATCCACCCGGGCATCTCAGTAACAAACCCTGTGCAAAAGCTCACTGCAAAAACCTTACTACTAACCAGGCACCTCCAACAACACTGCTGCTGGCAGACACACTGCACCTATCACAACTATTCACAACCACCCCATCTCTGGGCAAGCCAGCACACTGCCAGCGGTCATCGATCACAAATGTTCACTGAATCCCATCCAAAAGATACACTTATGTGCACATCTTCCAACTGCAGTTTTTGCAACTGACAGCAGTACCCGCAACCACCGCTTCCCCTTTATTCGAACTTGGCCATGCTCCTGAAAGCCCTTATGCCTGTGTTTATTTTAGAAACAAACTGTCTCACATGCAAGTATCTGCACAACCAGTGGTTCGATATCACAGAGCAAGTTTTCAACGTTGTTAACTGTTATAGTAACGAGCTGGTTTTAAATAAATACAAAGCAGTCCGACATAGACAGGCCAGGCACATACTTTTTGTTCTAGAGCAAAGTTCCATTCAGAAGAACGCTGCCTACTCTCTGTTAGTACTTTAAGATATTTAATGTGTGTGCAGTACTTTAATACTTTTAATGTAAAACCAGACTAGGCCTCCACACAAATACAGTGGTTCCTCTCACAAGTTGTTTAAGCAAGAAAAATAAAAAAGAAAGAAAAAACACAGGAGTTTCCTTCACCCTCCACTCTATACACAAAAAATTAAACAGATCAGTATTTAAAGTTAAGCCGTTATGGTAACCACACATATATGCTCATCTATGAGCAAAACCAAAGCACTTCAACGTTCCAGCTCAACTGAGGTCAAGACTGATATTCAGCCTACTACGTAGGTATATAAATATTTCAACACGATGCTGTGTGCTGCTTTTCCAATCGTAAGGAAGAGGGGAACAGCTTTTCCAGCCTGTCCATATACGGATCAAATAGTTCTGGCTGCTCTTTAAGCACGTTTTCTTTCACTGCGTTTCCTAACACAGCTATGAAATATAATAACTACGTATGTAAACGCAACAACACTAAGACTAAAAACTGATTTGTAAGCTTTCAACGGGACCTTAAACAAACCCAAACCACCACAAACCCAGGCAGCGAACCCAAGCCAAGGAGTGACAGAGAGCCGCGCGGAGATGAAGCGCTGACCTAAACCCGAGAGCCCCCCACGTTAACGAGGAATCCTTATTCCCGACAGGAGCAGCAAACGCTGACGGGACGATGCTACCGGGGCGGACTGACTCCAGACCTCAACGCCAGAGCGCTCCCCGCCGCCCGCGGGGCTCCTCGCTCCCCTCCCGTCCGCGCCGCCTCAGGTGGAAGAGCCTCGTCCCG